TCGCTATCGCTGCTTTATAGGTTTTTGAAAGCTAGAATCATTCCCTCTCAAACCACCAGTCTTCTTTGTCCAAAATGTGAACATTCTGGTCCTCCAAAGAATGCAGCAACATCTGGGATGGAGATGTTTTGGTTTTAATCTTCTCACAGCTATCTTCTGCTGCGTGCTTTTTGGATTTCTTTGCTGATTTGACAAATGCCCAGTTTGGGTATCTGCAGGTCTGGAGAGCATCTTTGATGTGTTTCTGTTTCTGGGCATTTTTTTAAATCAGCAAGGCAATCCAAGAGACACGGAGCAGAACGTAATCAACCTGAAACAGAGGAGGAGGACTCTGGTTCCAGCTGTGACTCAGAGAGGAAAGTGGTTTCTGATGGTTTAAGGTTTCCATGTCTTCCAGGAGGTTGAGTGCAGAGCGGCCGGACGTTTTGCTGAACCAGTTCCCCTGTGAGAGCGTGCTGACAGTGAAGGACTGTCTGGCTGCTGTGGCTCGCAGGGTCAAAGGCGGCCCCCCCCCTGACTGGCTCCCAGTGACCTTCAACCTTCAGACGGAGCTCCCACAGTTCATCAAACATTACCAGCTGAGAGAGCAAAGGTCAGATCTGGTTTTCATTCATAGATTTTCTTTCCTCTCCAGGTCCTGCCTGATGATTTTATCTCTGCATGTATCTTTTAGTGGGGAGGACAACCACTGGATCTGTAAGCCATGGAACCTGGCCCGAGGTCTGGACACACACATCACCCGGAACCTGGACTACATCATCCGGCAGAGAGAGAGCACGCCAAAGGTAGCAGAGAGGAAACCAAACTGCCCCCAGTTCATCACCCGCAGGTCTTTAGACAAACCGTGGACATCCTCAGCCTGGTCCGTGACGACCGATAAATCTCACCATTATTAAAAGATTTTAATCCCTTAGAGAAATGGTTCTGTGACCCGTTCCAGGCTGATGGATAGAGGGCGCCACCCCCAGCTGGGTTACAGCTGCTGGGCTAGAGCTGGGGGGAAAATAAAACAGATGTTTGGAGCATCTGGACCAGAACACAGCTGCAGTGGTCCCGGTTCTGGTCCAGAATCTTCAGTCTGATGAGCCAAACGGCTGCCTGTGAGAAGGAAGTTCTGAGCTGCGGAGCTGATGGGCGCTGTGTGTTTGCCAGGTGGTGTGTAAGTACCTGGAGGACCCGGTTCTGTTCAGCAGAGAGGAAATAGGGATGGTGAAGTTTGACATCCGCTACATGCTGATGCTGCGCTCGGTGCAGCCTCTGTGTCTCTACGTCTACGATGTGTTCTGGCTCCGCTTCGCCAACCGGTGAGAAAAGCATGATGACCACAGGAAGCGGATCTGATCCTCTCCCAGTCAGCAGAATAATCCTGGTCTCCGTTATTCAGGCCGTTCTCCTTGGATCGTTTTGATGACTACCAGAAGCACTTCACTGTCATGAACTACGCAGAAGGAGCGCAACTTAAACAGGTACCTACTCTCTGGGTCACGGCCAATGTTGTTACTTCCTGTTCAATCCTGGCTTTGTCTGTTGCTACTTCCTGTTCATTCCAGGTTTTGTCTGTTCTCACTTCCTGTCTGTACCAGGCCCTGTCTGTTGTAACTTCCTGTCTGTTCTCGCTTCCTGTCCGTTCCAGGCTTTGTCTGTTGTCACTTTCTGTCTGTTCCAGGCTGCGTCTGTTCTCACTTCCTGTCTGTAC